CAAAACTTTTGAAAATAATATTTTTAAATTAGACCCGAGTTCCAAACCCTTTTGGAAACTCACAACAAATTTGAAAAAACGTCAAAAGCCTATTCCAGCGCTTAAAGAAGGTGGTAAAATTTTGAACACAAATTTGGAAAAAGCTCAGAAACTTGCTAAGCAGTTCGAGAGTTCCCATAATTTCAGTTTGGGTCTTACTAGTCCTGTTGAGAATCAGGTTGCTCGGGATTTTCTGAATATTTTCTCTCGGGAAAATATTTTTGATGATTCCTGGGGGACTGATTTGGACGAAGTAAGGTCTATAACTAAAATTTTTCAAAATATGAAAGCTCCAGGTGATGATGGAATTTTCTATATCCTCATTAAAAACTCCCAGAGAGTATCTTGTCTTTCTTGGTAAAATTATTTAACAGATGTTTCCATTTGGCATACTTTCCTGATAAATGGAAAAATGCAAAAGTTGTTCCAATTTTGAAGCCGGATAAAAATCCAGCTGAAGCTTCTAGCTACCGTCCAATAAGTTTGCTTTCTTCAATAAGTAAACTTTTTGAAAAGATAATTTTAAATAGAATGATGCTTCACATCAATACAAACTCAATTTTTGCAGATGAGCAGTTTGGATTTCGCCATGGGCATTCGCCATGGGCATTCAACTAAGAGTTACCAATTTAATTCGTTCAAACAAATCTGAAGGCCACTCAACTGGAGTTGCTCTTCTAGACATATAAAAAGCATTCGACAGTGTTTGGCATGAAGATTTGATTGCTAAATTGAAAAAGTTTAATTTTCCACTTTATATTATGAAATTAGTTCAAAATTATTTAATTGACAGAACTCTTCAAGTAAATTATCAAAATTCCAAATCTAATCGACTACCTGTTAGGGCAGGAGTTCCTCAGGGTAGCATTCTTGGGCCTATATTGTATAACATTTTCACTTCGGACCTCCCTGATTTGCCTCAGGGTTGGCACAAATCTTTGTTCGCTGATGACACAGGCATTTCCGCTAAAGGAAGAAGTCTTCGTGTTATTTGCAGCAGACTGCAGAAAGTTTAGATATTTTCTCTTCTTATTTACAAAAATGGAAGATTTCTCCCAACGCTTCCAAAACTCAACTTATAATATTTCCACATAAGCCTAGAGCTTCGTTTTTGAAACCTAGTAGTAGTCACATAGTCACTATGAACGGAGTTCCAATTTCCTGGTCAAACCAAGTGAAATATCTTGGATTAATACTTGACCAAAAATTAACTTTTAAAGATCACATTGAGGGCATTCAAGCTAAATGTAAGAAATATATTAAATGTTTGTATCCTCTTATAAACAGGAAATCCAAACTTTGCCTGACGAATAAACTTCTAATATTTAAACAAGTTTTTAGACCGGCCATGCTTTACGCTGTGCCAATATGGTCTAGTTGCTGCACTACCAGGAAGAAAGCACTTCAAAGGATTCAGAACAAAATTCTGAAAATGATTTTGAAGTTGCCTCCCTGCACACTTAGATTGTTTTGCCAAGATGGGCACCACCGAGCAGCTCGGCATTTTATTTTGCTGGAAATTCAGAAAAAAATATGTTTGTTAGCTGAGATCTCGGCAAAATTCCCGTTTGTTAGCTGAATCTCGGCAAGTTTTTCACTGAGATCCAGTAAAATAAAAAGCCGAGCTGCTCGGTGGTGCCCATCTCGGCGAAAAAAATCTAAGTGTGTGGTACAGTACTACCGAGGTACATAGAATTTCGAATGTTGAGACAAATGTCCAACAAAATAATTAATAATTTCAGGCAAAAGTCGTTGCAATCCTCAATTGCAACGATTAATTCCCTTTATACTTAGATAAGATTAATTTTAGTTTTTAGTTTTAAGATATCAATTGTTATACTGACATGCAGGTTAAAAAACCTGTTTAAAATACTGAATTGCCAAGACATGAACATTGTAAAAACACTTAGATATATATCATAACAATTAAGGCTGGTACGTTACTGCAGTAACTGGAGCACCTAGGTTAAAATGAAATGTAATTTATTTTGAATTTGGAACAAATAAAGAGCTAAAAAAAAAGATAAATCAATGTACTACCATAATCAACAGAAAAAAACATAATTTTACTACTACTACGCCTTCGCATTAGTTGCGATTCACCCGTTCAACGGTAAACAACCAGGAGTCGTGGCAAGGGTGTCAAAGGATTTGGTAAAGGAGTCGCCAAGTGTCATCGTGTGATAACATCCAGGGCCTGCCATTCGTCGTCTGGCTCGACGTGGTGGTGTCAAGCTCATCTCCGGTCTAATGTACGAGGAAACCCGAGGTGTGCTGAAGGTGTGCTGAGAAAATGTGATACACAGCTGCCTACACGTCATCATCATCTTCCAAAGGCTTTAAGCCTGTACTACCACCATATTCAGGGCCACCAACATTTTCCAAAAGAGTTAATTTTCTGAACTAAACTAAACCAACTAAAATTCATATCACAAGGTTCTTTTCATGGCAATCATAGTCATACTAAAGAGTATAAACAGAGAGAACCCCCCAAAAATTCTTATTCCTAAACAAAACACAAGCTCCTGCTGCAGTTAACAAAAATATTTATTATATCATACCACGTAGCCCTACGTCATCATTGCGTACAACCCCATTGGGCTGTCCCTTGTAGTTTTTATACGATAGTGTAAGCGTTTACGATGAGCCTAGTAATCATATTTGCGTATGCGCATCAATCAGTAAGCAATTGCAACTCATTGTTCAATTCAATTAAGAGTTGATCGTGAGGGAAAATGAACCATCCGCTTCAACGATGCACTCAAATGGAAGCATAGAAAATCGTGTTATTTTTAGCTAACGCAATTTAATGTTATGCAAAAGTATGCGTGACCATGGATTTAACGTGATTTACTGTTTTTTTGGGGTTTTTGCCTGGATATCCGCATCCATTAGTAAGTTGTGCCGTGGTCGAAAGTAACAGCACTAATTGATAACCATTATTCCATATCGTGATGAGTCCCGATGACACTGTCAAGTCAATAAATTCAAATGGAATAAAAAGTGAAAACAAATTGAAGGAAGGTATTGCTTCCAACAAGGACGGAGGTGAATGAAATGAAAATCAAGAGGAAATTGTCGTGTTACGATGTTGTAATATGATACATCTCAAATTACCACACAGATCTTTTCATAAATCACCATAATAAAGGAAACATTTCCATTTCCTTATCCCACTGTTTTAACATAGATAGAAACTGCCAAAATTCATGACCTACTGAGAAACTGCTCAGTCAACTTCGAAACAGTAAAACCTTTTCCTTTTCCTTGTTTACCAACCTACTTTAACTGCTACGATATGCGCGCAATAAGTCTTGCGCATATGCACAACAAATGTTTTGGCAATAAACCTACTACGCCGCTTCGCTTTTTTTAAGGTTTATATTTTACATTCTTTCGGCCTATCCAAATACCAAATAAGAACCTTCCTGATCCGAACCTGCAAATTGAATAAAGAGTCTATTCGTACATGGAAACCGAGAAGCATCTTGAATAATCCGAAGTCCGTATGCCACAAAATACAAATGTTGACCCAAATATTGTAACTCTACCAGCGTAGTGTCCTCTGTGAAGTTGTTGATAATAAGGTCTGATGAAAGTTGCAAATAGGATGGACCAAAAAATGACAAAAATTCAAATTTGTTTTTATTTATTCTGAACATATCTTGGTGGAACTTTCTACATAGTTGTTGATGACGCAATTTCAAGAATTTTTGCAAAAAAAAAACTATAGCGCTGAAATTTAAGATTGTTTTTCTATAGCAGCTTTTATGATTTTTATTTTCATTTTTTTTTTTTTATTTAGGACAACCATATTTGCAAAATTCATCGAAATAAATGCAACAACTTGGGGCCTCCTTCAACTCAGAGAGTAAAGGCGCAGCTACAATGCAAGACCATGCTGGAAGTGGCTGGATTCAATTTCCGCTCCGTTGTTAGACATTTTTCGGGTTGAAAAATTTCTCGACTTCTCTTGGCTAGAGTATGTTTGTGCTTGCCACACAATTATATACAAATGCAAAAATGGTACAGGCATCGAAAGCTCTCAATTATTAACTATGGAAATGCATCTAGAACTAGAACACCAAGTTGAGAGTACGCAATAAGCTAATATGCGCAGAAAGATAAAATAAGCAACAACTTCACAGAACGCACTACGCTGGTAAAGTTATAATTTCAGGGTCAGAATATTTATTTCATCCAAATTTTCATTGCTGGACCACTGTGCAATAAGAGGCAAACTTGTTTTATTATTCTTCATATTTAGTTATTTCCCAACGGGAACACAAGGCTTGTGCTCAATTTAGTGTTGTTTGAGCACTTCTCCAGTTGTTCATTTAGTGCTTTCTGAGCAAAATTGTCTTTCATACCAATCAGATGCGACCGTATCACTTACATTCATTGATTCGAATATTCGAATTTCGGACACTTTTAAAAGTTGATTGTCTCGGTCGAATATGATCCACATGTCTTGTAAATTTTAAATTTTTTTGACTAGTGCCCTCCACGATCATCTAACATTATTACTTTGTTTCTAACTGGATGTAATATTTAATTAAAAATGAAAGTGTCCGAAATTTGAATCGTCCAAAATTTGAATCGGAACGGTATGTAATTCTTGTTGGGTGTAGCGTTAGTAATATGGATCCATAGAAAGCAATCTACACCATCATATTTGTGCGATAAAACAAACAACCGAATCGTGCTGGGGTAGGCAATCGTAAAAGCATGATGAAGCTTATTCTATATAACAGTCCATAACAAAATCTCCCCGAGCTTTTCGAACATCACATGCACGCTTTGGTGGCATCAACTGTTATACGGCTGCAGAGCAGTGATGATGTAGGCGTTTTCTGGATCTATGCATGTGATTCATTTTTGGTAGTACAGCTCAATCGTGGATATGTTCATTTGATTTGCTCTATTAAAAAATCAATTAGAACAACTTTCGTCTGAAAACTTTATTGATCATTGGTCTCCGCATTCCTCCTAAACACCTGAATCGAATGTGCAAAGGGAAGTTTTAACGTCAACCCAAATTTGTACTTCAGATCACAATGCCGCAGTTCCGTCTTCAACTCGAAATTCCGTACAATGTCAACGATCATGACCTTCATGCTGAGCATTGCATAGCGCCCTCCGATGCAGTTCCTGGCACCGTTACTGAACGGCATGAATGCATACGGATGCCGGTCCTTGGACCTTTCGGGAGAAAAGTTTTCCGGGTCAAATTTTTCCGCATCCAGTCCCCAGATGTCCTTCCGCCGGTGCAGCGCATAGAATGAGAATACGAAAATGTTTCCCGCCGGTATTTTGAATCCATCGAGCTCCAGCTCGACCAAACTCTGCCGGGCGATGGTTGGAGCAACCGGGCAGTGGCGAAGACATTCCTTGATGAACATTTCGGTATACTCGAGGCGCCGCAAGGATTCGGCATTGAGCTCTATGTCTTCGGTTTCCGGGAAATGTTTCATCACTTCGGCGTATACTTTCTGCTGGATGTCCGGATACATGGCCAAGAAGAGGCAGGCATGCGCCACACCCAGCCCGGAAGTGTCGTTTCCCTGTGGAAAGGATGTATTTTTAAGTTGAGGTTATATGAAGAAAATTGCTTGATGAGATATTACAGCTATCATTACGGTGATGACGTTGTGGAGGATTTCATCGTCAGTGAACGGTCGGCTGCTGTTGGACAGTGAAAAGAGCTGATTGATGAAGATTTGTGGTTTACGAAAGTCCTCTTCATCTTTGGTTGGTTGGGTTAATTGGTGAATCTTGGAATGAGTAAAATGGAGCGATCGTTTTTCGTGTATTATCTGGAAATAAGCCACATGTTAACAAAAATACAGACATTTCAAAACAAAATATATCCCACTCAAAGTGTTTTATGTTCAGTGGCGTAACTAGGGTAGGGCAGACAGGGCACTTGCCCTGGGCGCCGCAGTCGAGGGGGCGCCGCGGCGCCTCCTTGGCTGCGGAAATTTTTTGGGTACAAAACCATTTTGGGCGCAAAAGGCGATCACAAAAAAACCCACTCTTTTCGCAGTCGAGGGGGCGCCGCGGCGAATGACATTTGGGCGCGTAGCGCGCCCACGGAAAACGAAAAGTACGCCCGATGCGAATGAGCGGCGCCCGACGTTGCGGAAAGGTTCGTTTGGGCGGATTGCTCCCCCGCCGGGATCGCTGATCGGCGGATATTTAGTTTGTAAGGTCATAAAAAATTATCGCGAAAAAAACTAACTCATTTTTTCAGTATTCCATCGACTGTTCTCATAAATATTAACATGCTGATAATTATGACTGTAAATTGACAGTCCGCAATGCGCTGCAAGCGCGTAAGCTAACGAGATTTGTGATCCTATTCTTATAAGCGGTTTGAAATCTCCCGCATCGCGGTTGATACCAGCAGTCGTAACTGGGGGTAAGCAGTGAGCGAAAGGCTTCTACCATACCGACCTCTCATGTAGATGTCGCTTCAATAAAAACAGCAGAGAAACTCTGTTTACTTTTGCGCCCAGATTGTTCAGAAGCATTACCAATGCATATTTTCGTCGTCGTGCTTTTCAGCTCCGAGGTAAGCAATTGATCATGAAGTATGTTTGTTAATTAATGTCTGCAAGTAAGTATTTATGTTTGGGTATTATCGTGATAATGAAATACCATATATGTGAGAAGAATGTCTCACAGACGTTTTTAAATCGTTTCAACTACGTTTAAAATGTAGTCGAACGATAGTCAATAACGATATGAGAATGTTTTACATAAACGTGTTGAAAAAGTTTTATGAACTTGAAAATCAAACATTTTGATTTGTTCACATTGTATTTAAACGGTTTGAACGTTTTGAAAACGTTTTTAAACTTATCTTATCTAACGTTTTAAAACGTTGTGTACAGTAACGTCCAACAGTCCTCAATAAAAATTCTACTTCCGTAATATCCTCGTTGTATCACTAACGCTGTTACTTTTGCTTCAGATTGTCATCTGCACTCGACAAGAACGCCAATAACTCTTAGTCAACCTAAAACTTAGTTAAATGTGAGGTAAGAATAATAAGGGTCGTAGTTCGTGAATGTCAGGTTTGAAAATTATTCGTCTAATCAAAAACATATGCATATTATAGAGCGTATAGAAAACGGCGATGAAACGTACGCTTGTAAAGAAAAAGGAGTCTGGTGCGGAGGGGCGGAAAAGGCGCAAGTTGGAGACAGAGGAAGCCAAAAAGTCAAGTCAGCTTCTGAAGAGTTTTTTCGGAAAGCCCGCTCCTACAGATCCCCTTTCATCGTCGTCAAGTTTGGCTGCTTTGAACTCTAATGCATCAGAGATGGAGCCGGAAGACCAAACATCAGACAGATCCACCGAAACCACTGAAGATCACGCACGGGAAAAAAAGAGTTCCCATATTCGTGAACCACAGCCGTGAACCATAGTTCACGGTGTATATTTGAGAAAATTTTGTTCTGGATAGCTGACCGTGATTTTAAGTTCACGGTCCGTTCACGTTTTCGGGAACAGATATTTTTCCGAGCGCTGAACCGAACGCTGGAGATGCTGGCGACGCTGCTCAAGATCCCAGGGGACCCGTCATTCCAAATGTCATCAATATGCACGACATTGCACTTCTGGAATTCCACGGTGCTGCCGGAAAAGTCAAGGTTGCTGATTCTCTGAGAGTGGAAATAGTCCAGTTGGGTTCCACCTATTTCCAGAACGACGAGGGGCCGTTTGCACCAACAAACAACCGGTCGATGAACAAATCCTGGTTCAAAAGGACACTGGCGAACGGGGAGAAGGTGACTCGGTCCTGGCTAGTTTATTCTCCAGCAAAGCAATCAGCTTTCTGCATGTGCTGTTTGCTCTTTTCTCGATCAAACCCTCAGTCGAGTTTGGAGCAGGAATGCGGATTCAATCATTGGAAAGCACCTGAGCGCATGACTGTTCATGAAATGTCGAAGAATCATCGTGAATGCTTCACTCAATGGAAACAAATGGAACGGACTTTGGCCGAGCGTAAAGCATGGCCGGTCTAAAAACCTGTTTAAACATTAGAAGTTTATTCGTCAAGCAAAGTTTGGATTTCCTGTTTATAAGAGGATACAAACATTTTATATATTTGTTACATTTGGCTTGAATGCCCTCAATGTGATCTTTAAAAGTTAATTTTTGGTCAAGTATTAATCCAAGATATTTCACTTGGTTTGACCAGGAAATTGGAACTCCGTTCATAGTGACTATGTGACTACTACTAGGTTTCAAAAAGGAAGCTCTGGGCTTATGTGGAAATATTATAAGTTGAGTTTTGGAAGCGTTGGGAGAAATCTTCCATTTTAGTAAATAAGAAGAGAAAATATCTAAACTTTTCTGAAGTCTGCTGCAAATAACACGAAGACTTCTTCCTTTAGCGGAAATGCCTGTGTCATCAGCGAACAAAGATTTGTGGCAACCCTGAGGCAAATCAGGGAGGTCCGAAGTGAAAATGTTATACAATATAGGCCCAAGAATGCTACCCTGAGGAACTCCTGCTCTAACAGGTAGTCGATTAGATTTGGAATTTTGATAATTTACCTGCAGAGTTCTGTCAGTTAAATAATTTTGAACTAATTTCATAATATAAAGTGGAAAATTAAACTTTTTCAATTTAGCAATCAAACCTTCATGCCAAACACTGTCGAATGCTTTTTCTATGTCTAGAAGAGCAACTCCAGTTGAGTGGCCTTCAGATTTGTTTGAACGAATTAAATTGGTAACTCTTAAGAGTTGATGAGTAGTTGAATGCCCATGGCGAAATCCAAACTGCTCATCTGCAAAAATTGAGTTCGTATTGATGTGAAGCATCATTCTATTCAAAATTATTTTTTCAAAAAGTTTACTTATTGAAGAAAGCAAACTTATTGGACGGTAGCTAGAAGCTTCAGCTGGATTTTTATCCGGCTTCAAAATTGGAACAACTTATGCATTTTTCCATTTATCAGGAAAGTATGCCAAATGGAAACATCTGTTAAATAATTTTACCAAGAAAGACAAGGTACTCTCTGGGAGTTTTTTGATGAGGATATAGAAAATTCCATCATCACCTGGAGCTTTCGTATTTCGAAGCTTTTTAGTTATAGACCTTACTTCGTCCAAATCAGTCCCCCAGGAATCATCAAAAATATTTTCCCGAGAGAAAATATTCAGACAATCCCGAGCAACCTGATTCTCAATAGGACTAGTAAGACCCAAACTGAAATTATGGGAACTCTCGAATTGCTTAGCAAGTTTCTGAGCTTTTTCCAAATATGTGATCAAAATTTTACCACCTTCTTTAAGCGCTGGAATAGGCTTTTGAGGTTTTTTCAAAATTTTTGTGAGTTTCCAAAAGGGTTTGGAACTCGGGTCTAATTTAGAAACATTATTTTCAAAAGTTTTGTTCCTCAGGGCAGAGAATCGCTTTTTAATTTGTTTTTGCAAATCCCGCCAGATAACTTTCATGGCAGGATCGCGTGTTCTTTGAAATTGTCTCCTACGGACATTTTTAAGACGGATCAAGAGCTGAAGATCATCGTCTTTTATAATTGAATCGAATTTAACCTCGCATTTTGGTACTGAGGCAGCTCTTGCTTCAACTATAGAAGTAGTCAGAGATTCAAGAGCATAATTAATTTCATCTTTGGTATGCAAAGGAATGTTTGGATCGAAGTTATATTCCATAAATGTTCGATACTGCTCCCAATCAGCTCTATGGTAATTGAAAGTAGAGCTGTTGGGATTAGAAATTATTTCTTGGGATATTTCAAAAGTTACTGGAAGGTGATCAGAACCGAAGTCAGCATGGGTAACCAATTGGCTACAAAGTTGACATGAATCAGTTAAGACCAAATCAATAGTTGAGGGATTTCTTGCAGAAGAAAAGCATGTTGGGCTGTTTGGATATTGAATAGTGTAATAACCTGCAGAACAATCACCAAACAGAATATTACCATTGGAATTGCTTTGAGCATTATTCCATGAGCGGTGTTTTGCGTTAAAATCACCAATAATGAAGAATTTAGACCTATGACGGGTAAGTTTCTGGAGGTCACCCTTGAGAAAATTCTTTTTCTGGCCTACGCATTGGAATGGCAAATAAGCAGCTATAAACATAAATTGTCCAAATTTTGTTTCAACAGAAACTCCCAAATTTTCAAAAACTTTGGTTTCAAATGAAGAAAGTATTTTGTGTTTGATTCGTCTATGAATAATGATGGCAACGCCACCACAGGGTCCATCAAAACGATCATTTCTATAAATCAAATAATTTGAGTCCTTCTTAACCTTATGGCCAGGTTTAAGGAACGTTTCAGTTATAACGGCAATATGCACGTTATGAACTCTCAAAAAATTCAATAGCTCGTCTTCATTATCTTTAAGAGATCGAGCATTCCAATTTAAAATGTTTAATGCTTTAAAATCCATTACTGAATTTTTAAGTCATGACAATATTATTAGCAAATTTTACTCCAGTTTGAATAGCATCAAACATGGAGTTAGATTTAAGCATATCAGAAATCATGTCAATTAATGAATTCTGTAAAAATTCCATTTTAGGAGCAGTAAGGCTTCCTAAGTCAAAATTGTCAAAATTTCCGTTAGAACGTTGGTTAGTATTTTGATTTCTACCCGCTGCAATAGCAGCATAGGTAGCTCCATTAACTCGCTGAACATTGTTAGCAGCGAGGGGAGTAGGTACAGATGAAACATTTGAAGCAGGGGTGATATTTGTACCTACGGGTACGAATGTAGAATTTGTTCCTCGCTGGCCGTTGTTAACAGCAGAGGAATTTGTACCTGGTCGGAA